GTCTGTCACTTTCCCTGGCGACCTTGTCAATAATGTCAGCTGCTATTGCCAGTATGTACCCTGTCTTGCCTGCAATACCCTCCTTAACATTTTTGTGTGTATGCAAATTATAAAGCAGAAGATGAATGAGTATGTCACTTCTTCCAGTAGTCGACAAAGTACATCATTTCATACCATTTATCCATATTAGTTTGTATAGTTGTAACATGTTCAGATCACTTGTTTTCATTCATTTGACTCAGTCCATTCTCTTCTTTCTTAACCAAGTACAACCTAACCTTGTATTATGTTATATCAACAAGCAGACGCAGTTTAAAAACGATGAATAAATAAATTAAACCCTTTATCGTAATCGTTGAACCAAACAATAATTTAATCAATTTTCGTAAAATATAAGAGACATGTACGCAAACCACTCACTATTAACGCATCCACACAAGTAAATATGAAAATTTGTGGAGACTTGAAGGGGTGCCTTGGAACTTGATGCGTGCCGTTCCGAATGGGGCGAACGTTTTTCACCGGGTTGTGCTATCCAGCGCTGGGAAATGTCTAGGGGGCCCGGGCTTCAAGAAACGTGCAGGAGCCGTACCCTACCCGTTCCAGCCCCCCCCCCCCTTCCCCTTCACTCAGACAGGAAGTTACTTGTAGCGAAGTTCGCATAAATCTCTCGTTTCAAGATTCAACAAGGTCCATGCACAACTGAGATATGTTATGGAATAATTTTTGTGATGATAGAAGCATTTTCTCTGGAAACAGTAGACATGATTGGTGATTTAATGTGATTCTTTTTACTCGTTTTTCTTCTATTATAACTTTAATATTACATTGAAGTTGGCTTCATAGAGATTTGTTTGTTATGCCAACTCATACACGTTGCCACACCTTACTGACACGAGTCGTTTTCATAAATTGTCAGTGAGGTACACAATCGTTAAAGTGATAATTGATGAAACACGAATAATAATAATAATAATAATAATAATAATAATAATAGTAATAATAGTACTTAATTTCTTTCATATTGTTAAATTCTTTAAATGTTTTCATCAATATTCCCTTGATAGACATCAATTTTGGACATGTTTCATGAGATTTGGATGAGGGTTATTTCTTCTTTCAAAAAAATAAGTGTATCAAAAAATGGCCAAATTGAGTTCCATCCAATATTGCCAGAAGTACAATTATTCACTTATATCTGGCGTGTGTTCCACTTGGATTGAAGCTCATATTTTGTAAATATGAATGTACACAGTTGAATACAGAAAAGAGAATCTAGTTTTATTTGATTTTTAGTGCTGCTTTGTGTTGTTATGGTGTGTTGTTACAATATTGAGGTAGTATGTTTGTAAAAGAGTTCTGCAAATCTTCGGTTAATTCTATGTTTCGTTACTATTAATTATGTAATAGAACTTGCTAGACATTTTTGCCTAGAAAGTAGCTGAATGCTAATGTTGCAGATATCGGCCCATACTATTTCATAAAACTTTGTTTAGGATCAGAACCTTAATTTTGATAATTTTCAATGCAAAATTTGTTTGAAAAAAGTAAATCCATTGTTCTTCCTTCATCATTGAGGTTTATTTATTTATGTTTCTGCAATGTTTGTATCAGAGATTATTTAATACTATGTAAAATTATTTAATACTAGATGTAAAAGTGATTTTATTTGAAAATAATCTTAGGTTTGTAGTGCAATGTATTAAAAAAAAGGTCAAAGGAGCTTCTCTTTAGTTGAGAAGGAAGAATGATTGAATTACAATTATTTATAGAACATTTCTTCTTTGACTGACATTTAATTTTTGGTGATACACACCTCTTCTGGTTATAAAATATTTTAACTTTGCATTTATGGCTCATTGTTTTTAATGATAGTCTTGTTGTTGTTTTTTGTTTTTTTAATTTTTGTCTACTTTTAGTTAGAGAAAAAGGTTACATTTGGTCGAGCCAACTTCTTTAGTGTGAGGAGTTTTGTGTAACACTTTTATGAATGCGTTTTAATACCACTGATCTTCCATTTCCTCACTTTTCTAACTAGTGGCGCTACAACATAGCAGAGAATTTCTCATGTTTGTAATAGGGATGTAAAATAATAATAATTTATTGTAATTTGCAAATACTCATTAGACTATTGTTTTCACAAGCATTTTCATCAAACTGCTTGCAAAACAGTACTGCGCCCATTTACTTATATTTCTGATCATTGGGGAGGATTACAACTTTCAAACTTACAGAGATTGTAATTGTTATAAAGCCAATTTTATAAGTGTACTTTTCTACTTGAGAACACACATTTAAAGAAAACATTTGAAGCAATTTTTGATGAAATTTGGAATATGAAAATGTTTCATGCAATAATTTATTGTAAAAGCATTGTGGCACATTAAACAACTATATTTAATATATCATGAAGATCTTTGAGGGTCAATAATTATAAATTAAACTCGATCGTCAATATCATTGACAAAGTCTTTTGGGCCTCCTTGTAACTAACACCTTACAGTAACTGATACTATCATGTCATCATTCATATTTGCACTTTAAATATTTATTACTAAGACTTTCTAAGAACTTAATTTCTAGCCTATTCCTAATATTACTACCTGTTAAGAACAGAAATAAGGGTGGTGGCTACTTTCTGAAAAACTGAAAACCAGGAAATTTGTAGAAGCAATGAAAGTTAGCGAAAATTTTCAGATGCTTATAAAAATATATATTAAATAGTTCAAGTTGGTATTAATTAGTATAAAATAATTTTTTGATCAATTTTTATTTGTTGAGAAAATATTGTTAATTTGCACTTACAGTGAACTTAGAGATGACCAGACCGGCTTTAATATTTTCTTTATTGTTAAAATAAAAATCCTACCGGTTAAAGATAAAAAATACATTTGTAAATCGGGAAGAGTCAGGGATAAAAAATAATATTAAAATAATGGAGATACGATAATATGATAATAGGTGATCAATGATGCTGAAAAGATTCCAAAGAGTTTGCTAGGGACAGAAAACATACCAGATAGTTATAACCAGCCTTTTTCTGGGTCACTTGGTTATTTGCCTTTCCAAATCTGGCCGATTTGTTTTAGAACGTAATGGAAAGTGGCCGGCGACATTCAAGGACACTGCCAGAAAAAGTGTTCATTTTCGCCAAGTAAGGGAAATAAATGGTGACTTTTTCCCATGTTCCTGCCTTCCTGAACGAACTGTATTAATACACTCCCTACTTATACTACCCGCTTCCATTATTCCGAATCGCGTCGCGTCGCGTCACGCCCTGTGTGTGTTACATAATCTGCCGCGCCGCGCCTCGCCCTTTCTACCACCGCACGATGCAGCCGTCACGATGTTGAGCAGGGTTGCCACCTCTCCGGGTTTGACCCGGAGACTCCGGGTTTCATAGACAATCTCCGGGCTCCGGGTTACTGTTGAAAATTTCCGGGTTATATACAAAATGTAATACCTTTTTTCTCTTTTTAAAAAAGTGTTTAATCTGTGTTGAATAATTTTATTTTATCGAATGATTTCATATAAATTTCAATAAATTACAGAAAATGCAGGCAATTATTGTTTATTTTCTGCAAGGGTTGTTAGATGTCAGTGATATATGCCTAAGAAAACATCAGTAATTTTCAGTATTTGTTCTTAGATCATCAATTTTTTCGAATTTTTCAGATTCGTTAGTCAACCATCCCAAATCGAATTGCTAAAGAAAGCGCTGTCAAATGAAAAATATAGATGGAAATAGATAGCGAAACGGTAATTTGTGATTAGTGAAGAATACTGATTTTGTGATGAATGTCTAGTCGAACAGAAATATAATTATTGTTGTAGTAATTAATGTGTTAATAACATTATAAATGTATTATTATTAATTAATCGTAAAGAAGTCCTGCATTCTTTTATAATAAATGTTGATTGTGAATTTGAATATTTACTTTACTGCGCCTTCACCTCTCCCCCCCCCCCGGTAATCAATCATCTCCGGATGGCTTCCATCTCGAAAGTGGCCACCCTAATGTTGAGATTTTTGGCCCTTGACGTCTCCCCAGAATTTCAGTTTATGTACATAATAAACAAAAAGTAAAATACCTACCAGACAAGAATACTACCGCTTCCATCATTTCCTTTCGGCAACTCTAAGCCAACGCCGGAGAAGTACCTTCAGCAACGGGCAACACCTCGCGAACGATCTTTCCTCGTTACCTAAAAAAGCTGTAACAAACGTCGCCGATCATTTGTAGTTTCAGGTGAAAATCAACCTACAATGTCACTAGCAAGGTTAAGATGAGTCGCTGGTATTTTCAGCAAAAATCTGACTTGAAGTAAATAATGATATTAACTTTTATAAAGATCATTTTTGCCACTAGCGTACCTAGAGAACTGTCGCATGTTAATGTCCACCCTTTCCCTATTCTTTCCATTAAGGAGAGTTGTCAATTAATCGTGTTTATTTGTTAAAAAATATATAAATGTCCGTACTTACAGAATATCAAGCAAAAATAAAAACAATGCAATTAAAATGGGAAACAAATTTACAACAAAAATTATTCCGGTATTCTATGGCAATGTTCTTCGAACAATTCACACTTTCTTAAAAACAACATTTGAATTCATTCAATCTTCCTTGACAATTAGCTTTTCGCTTTCCTTGATAGTCACAAAAAGATTAAAAAAGGTTTTTTACTTTTGAGAAATCCAAGGCAACTTTTCAATAAGCAAGCTTAAAAAGATACGCATTTTTTACAATCAAAATGAACTTTGCATATGATTCTAAAGGAATATCATAAGTAAAACTCCAAAACATGGCATGGTACTAGCTTCCCTGTAATACACTAATAATCAGAAGTATGTGAATATCCCATAAAATTAGAATTATGCATCTCAACAAGAGAAATTTCTTAAAGTACCCAAGGAAGATGATATGTTACTACAAATCAAATCAGCTTGATATGTAAATGTTCTATCAAGAAATGTGGCGTACCTTTTTCTTCATTAACTTTCGCATTGCCAACGAAATGCAATACCACAAGTCAATCACTAGATGATATGCTTTAAAAAGCATAAAATAAATATTGCCATTATAAAAAAAAGCACCATTACAGCACACAATGCATTAAAAGTCAGATGATTGGTATCAACATTGCAATGGAATGATAAAAAAAATGAGATTGTGAAAGTGAATGCAGTTCTGTTAAGGAAGATTTTCTGTTGTAAAACTACTAAACAATGCGGAATGTCTTTTCTCTTCATTGATTGAAAAGTTTGCATGTTTCAAAATATATTCTTGTTAGAACCATCACTATTTTGTGAATGTAGCTGACATTGTTGACAGGACGGCAGCAGCTGCCATTAACATTTATCACAACACAGAAACAACAATAGATATGGCCCAACATTAGATTTAATGAGGTATGTTTATAGTATATAATTATGTACATGAGCTACTCTGTGCATTACACAGTAAATTTTCATGAAATCAACCGACAATGTTGGTTACCTTTTCAATTGTAGTTATGTTTTGTAAGTCTTTTTGCCACATCATCAATACATTCATGATTAACGAAAATAATCTCATTAATTGCTTTTGTGCAGTGAAATAGTCTAAATGATCTCATCATTTCTTTTCTGCTATGTCAGTGTCAGTGAAAAGGAACCTAAAGGATTGAAGTCATGCTGATGTGTACTATTGGCAGCAAGGAGATAACCCCAATGCTGCATTGCAGGCAAACAAACTCTTTGAATGTTTCTCACTTTTCGATGAGATAAATCCTGACGCCAATGAAATGGTGCGGATTTAGAATCGCGGTATGTGCTTGAAACACCTCCAACATTAACATTTGTATGAGTATCCAGGAAATGTTTAACTCTGGGATGGAAATCCAAGCCCAAGAAATCGAAGAGATCTTGAATCCCGGTGTATGGCTCCACAGAAATATCTTCATAACGTACTACCCTGTACGAAAACACACAAATGTTTAAAAAAGCAAATATTTATCAAACATCAGATTGAATACAAAAGAAATTACTTACAATATGTATGATTGAATGGCTTGATTCTATTTGTAATCTGACGTTTATTACTGCATACATGGGGTTTATTACTGCATACATATATTTGCATACGTTTATTACTGCATACATATATTTTTAACAAAAATCCTAACTAACACCTAAAATTTGTCCTGAATGTAATAAAATAGAAGTATGTTGACGAAGAAGTCCTATGACTTCTTTTCTTTCATATTTGTATTACAATTCTGGTGGAGAGGGGTCTTGTCTTTGAGATCCACCTGGTATTTTTTGTTGTTTGCATATAAAATAAAAGAGACTGAAGATCCTACAGAATGGCAGAAAGTTTCTTGTTCTAGTTTGCTCCATTTCTTTTGAGTTGTGTCTACAATTTCGGATAAACAGAACTATTTCCAATTGTCCCAAAAATACTTGGTTAAGCAGGGTCCTGATTTTTATTTTCATTCTTCCAACACTCAACAAGTGGTGCTGAAGAATTGCACAGACTTTCTATCTCTAGTTATGTCAAATTTCTGTGGTCTGAGCTAGCGTCCGTATAGCGGATTCCCCACATTTTGTGCCCGCTGCCAAATATCACATTCGAAACCACTTTTTTTTAATGTCCGTTCTCTAACGGTATATTGCTGTAAGAATAATATAGAAGAGTAAATGCTTTTCGTATAAGGAAATTTTCGTTGAAAAATTTGGAACCGTTTTGAAGAAAATATCATGTAAGCTCTGGTGTAGATGCGAAATTTGAACATATTTTTCGCAGAAATCTTTTGAGTTTTCGAAAAACTTTATTGAAAGGTATTCGAAGCTCTTTCATTCACAAATGTACTAATATACACAAATTACTGGGAATATTATGCATATTAAAGGTGTGAGATATATTAAAAAAATACATTTGTAATTTTCGAAAACACAAAAGAATACAGCACAATCAATTTTACGTCGTCTTAAATAGTTCAATTAGCACTACCCATATGAAAAAATTCGAAGGAATAATTTTCAGTCGTTTTTGAAAACATAGCACGTGAGCGCTTCTGAAAATGTGGAATATTGGACTAGTTTTCACAGAAAACTTTGGACTTTTCGAGAAACCTATCCCATAATTTAAAGCATATATACTCGTAAATGCAACAATGTGAAGAAATTGCCACTAATGTTAATACGTACGTCGTGAGAGGCTAGACAAGAAATAGCTTTTTGTAATTTTTGGAAAAACAAAAGAATAGACCAAAATGGCGTTTATGTCATCTTATAGAGCACATTTAGCTCTATTCCTACAAAATGTTTAAAGAAAAAAATTTGAAGCAGTTTTTTGAGAAAAATCTTGTTTTTGTAATTTTTTATTGGTCCTGTTGCACAAAAAAATGGTCTGAGCTCAAAAATTTCTCAAAGCATTAAAGAAACGTACATAACCTTATTAAAATAACTAAATATTGAGAACAAATTTTATTCGTAGGAAAAAACTTTCTTCAATTTTGTAGTTGTAGGATGTCGCCGAAAAATTCAAACTTTTGCAATTTTCGGAAATTCAGAGTTGATTGTGAAAATCAGTCCTATGCCACATATATTTAACTCTTTTATTACAAGAAATTTAAAGAAAATATTGAAAATCTCGTATCCAATCCTAGCTAATGTAAATATTACCATGAGAGACAAGTAAAAAAGTAGTTGCAGTTTCTGAAAAATAAAATTAAAAGAGCAAGCGGATGTTTATATGATGTCAATGAACACATTTATCACTTTTCCTACCAAACATTTGAAAAAAAATTGGAGTCGTTTTTGAAAAAAATCTAGTTTTTTAAATTTTTAAAATTGTACATATTGCACACAATATTTCCGAAGAATACTAACAATTTTCAAAAAATTATACATGAAAGCAAAAAAATATGCACTGTGGAGAACAAATTTTATTTTAAGAAAAAAATCTCTATCTTTAATTTTCTAGTTGTAGGACGACACCGAAAAACATAATACTTCTGCAAATTTCGTAAATTTAGAGTTAGCCGTGAAAATCGGACATCTGCCATGTTTATAGGTGTATGTTACTCTATTCTCGCAAGAAATTGAAAGAAAAAGATTGGAACCGTTACTGAGAGAATTTTGAAGTTATAAAGTACACCCCAGTATTGAAGAATGTCTTTCAAAATCACAATGTTGCAACTCGAGCCAGCTGGACAGCAGTTTCTTCAATTTCGAAAACATTCTACGCTTAGTTTAAGCGCTAATGGTGATCACAGACGGCCGGACGGACACACGGACAAACTGACACGCGGACACGCGGACACGCGGACACGCGGACACGCGGACACGCGGACACGCGGACAGACGGACACGCGGACAGACGGACAGACGGACAGACGGACAGACGGACAGACGGACAGACGGACAGAACTGCTAAAAATTAAAATATCCATTTTAAAATAAAGGGCCTGTAATATGGGTTAGATCGATTAGGGAATATCAAATTTTATGAAACTTCCTCTTATGGTATTTTATCTCTTATCTCATTAGCCGTGTTGCACTGACAGACTGACGTTACGCCTTCAATCGATTTTTTGGTCTCAAGGACGAACCAAACAAAAATTCTCTCTGCACAATTTGTAATAGGAAGTACGAGTGATTTACTTCAATCAGGATCAAAATTTATTCACTTTATCGTCATCAGGATCCGGCAAAAAGAGTTATTCTGTCGAAAATTCTGCTTTTCTATGCAGTATTACAAGTAATACAGTAAAGTAATAAAGTATTACAGTAATTGTTCAATGTCATGCACTTCCTGTGTGATAATTACCTGAACCTGTTTGGATATTTGGCGTTCAACTCCACTGCTGCATTGTAGTCTGCAACCAAATCCGAACAGAGAAGTGCAGGGTCCGCACAATCCGGATTATTAGGGCACCACACTCGATGCTTTCGAGACTGTACAGTTCCCCGTGGGTCACGAACCAAGAGTAATACCCGAACATTAAGGCTGAAAAAACAATACAATAATGGTAATTAAATGTTAGGAACATTCGTATCAAAACAATAAATCAATAAATTACATTCATTCGAAAATACCTGGGGTCTTTAAGAAATTCTTCTATTAATTTGAGCCTTAGTCGTACGACTTTCATACTTTGGAATGGGAACAGACGACAGAAAGGAGAGAGGAAATCAGGGGACCAACAAAGATCCCGATGCTTTTTGCACTGGGCCCATAACCTTGTGTTATGAACAAACAGTTCAATATGTCTTTGACCGTAGGTGAGATAATGATCTGTAAGAAAATATTTTAAAAAAATAGAAATAATGAACTGTTAGTCTCCTTAAAGGATTTTTTAAAATAGTAGTTTACGTAACAAGGGCGAAAAACACGGTGATTCACGCACGAGTCGAGTTTATCGCCCGAGCATAGAGAAGACGGAAAAGAGACGAGTTCGGGAGTCTCCTCCCGCCAGTGTTGCATATACTATTTTTTTAATACGCTGTGGGCAAAGCCTCAACTAAAGGAACATAAATTAAATATCAAGTAACTAGAAATACCTTACTTATACACAAGCAAATGAATTCCAGGGCCTAACACCATTGTTTCAAAATTTTGGAATCATTACCGATATTTCGCACACCCTTGGCGATGTTTCGCAACTGTGAAAAAAATTGCTTTTTCGCACACGGAAAACAAGCACGAGAAAACGTTTCGCGAACGGTGTGTTAAAATATAAATATTTAAATAGAAAGTTACAACATATAATTATTTATCGTTCGTGTAGCACTTACACCTTTGTACAAGAGTGCCATCATTGAATTCCGAGCACGTACGGGGTTGCAAGGCTTGAAACAAAGACTTACAATTCACCATGTTAATTGTCAGTGACGATTTAGTGTGAGTTGTCAGTGTATAGTGAGTACGAAGTGTATGTTTTATTCTACCAATGAATCTGTTGCACTTCGCGTAAATTTGCGAGAAAAACATTATAAGAAGGGAAAAAAGAAAAGAAAAAAAGCTCAATAATAGTGCTTAAACATTGCTTCATTAATTTTAGTCTCAACGGAGACTATGCTCAAAAATGAAAATATTATCGAAAATATGCTATCCAAATCTATGTCCTTTGGGTATATCCTAAAATATTTAAGAAAAGCATCATAAACGCGTTCGGCATTTGCGAAATGCAGTTCCTATTCTATTCTTTAACTAACACATAATTGTTTAGTACGAAACGCGATGCCAGATATAAAATTAAGTCTTCATCCGTATTAAAGTCGCAAAAAAGTGAATAACAGAAGAGACGAAGAGGTTTTGAAACTAATATAATTTAAAAGAAAAGATTCAACTCCATGTGTTGATAGTGTAATATTAGATAAAGTTCTAATATTGCTCTTGAACACATTGAAATATCATAAAAATTTTATTTTTTTATTTTGGATAAGAAGTATCAGACTACATTGGCAACAAAATAACTGAATCTATGGAACAAATTCAGAAGTTACGCCATATACATTGAGTAAAACTTGAAAAAAAATATTTCCACTATTTCACGCCATATTCTATTGTGTAAATATATACCACATTGAAATGTATCCCAATAGCAAAATTGTAGCTTGTAACGTTATCGAACACAAACGTCCAGCAGTTATCTTAAGAGTTAAGCAAAGTATTTTAAGAATTCGATAAACTACACAGAAAGGCCCAAATTTCGATTTCTTTTCACAACAGCATTATTGACTAACGACATAAAAATATGTATAATATATTTGTTATTAAGCAACACATTCCATTATTTGTAAAGAACTTAAAAACTTCAAACATGATTAAATTTAATGCAAAAATTATCACAGTATTTACATACCAAGACCTGTGTAGTTGCAGTTAAGTAATGCTTTCAGCTTTGAAACTGCTTCTGAAGCAAGGGGTTCTTCACGTATCTGCATTACTTTGTATTCCAATAGCGGCTCATAGTGGTAAAAATTTGCTGGATGGCTATTCAAAACTTCTCCCAGAAAGGTAGAGCCAGACCGCCAAGTTGTCGCCACCAAAGTTCTGATTGGCTGACCTCCCGTCTCTGGTGCAAGATCCTGGAATGATCTATAAAACAAAACAGTATTTTTTTAAAAATAAATTCAGTAGACACACAGACCAGTATATAAATATATTTTTTGACATTGTTTTTACGTTTATTGTATTTATACAAGAGAGCGTTCATTTCAGGGAGAGGCTTTCCGAAAAGAATTATACACACAAAGGTAGGAATATTAAAAATAAACAAAATTATGTATAATGCAAGAAAGGTTGAACGAAAACAGAATTTTCTTTTTCCTCGCAACTTTCTTCCCAACATTTTAACCATAAATAGTGGAACGATGAATAAAAGGGTCAAAAAACGAGAATAGCAATTTTGAAAACTAGACATTTCGCTGCCGAGTTAGAGAAAAATTATTTGCATTGGTAATCGAACTGTATATTTTATATTTTTTGAATTGCTAACACCCCCCCCTGGATCTACACTACCAGAACATTTTACGTATACATCACACATATTGAAGACGTAACTAGTTGTGCAAAAAATGGCACAGATTTTCTCGTACTAGTTGGTTTCTTATCCGTTTAGTCTAAGTTATATTTTCGGTTTTGCCTCAATTCTTCTCTGCTGTCATCTGCTGGCGCCTAAAAGTTTTCTCATTTTCTTAATTACAAAACTACCTTTGTGTAATTTTGAAAAAATCAAGAGAATAAATAAAAATTGAGTTGATTTGTGTCGTTTAATGTTGTCAGGCACTTTACACAATTGGCGAATTATGTCTATTGATTTATCCACCGCTGTGAATAATTCCCATTCCCAGAGTATGTCGCGGCGTAATCAGTTTCGAGGGTTGCTGGGGCGCCTAATAACCAAAATATACTACTACAATTTGCTATAGTCCCTGTATTTTGTATTTGTCCGATGCACCCCTGGGGGTATTTCCCATCCAGGTGTAGTGTGTACACCGCCCGTCCGTGTCGTGCGAGCTCGTGCGCAAGCGGTTGTCACCTGGTCACATGGTATCACGCACGATGATGAGCCAACAGCGTGGAATGCACTATTCACTATATGCGCTCATAGCACACATACACACACACACACACACACATCGGCCTCCGGTAGCTCGACGATGTAGCCAGAGGGCGAGATGGAGGACCATCTCATAAGAGGAAATGATAGGATCAACCGAATTATAAATGAAGAAGCGAAATTGGCTTAAATATTTATTTAATAAATGAAGATAAAAACGAGTGATAATGCCTCTTGGAATTGATAAAATAAAACTATCGGTTGCGCGATCTTTCGGTGATCTTTGAAAGCAGTTCAAATTCGTTCCAAAGTGGCTCATTCGAAAAATGAATTCCTTTCCTCTTTGGAAGGCAAGCGGCGGAGGTTAGACTTGGCGTCTTGTGTGGTTGTAGTTGCGTCTCAGCAGCCGTGGACTCAATAAAAGCTTGGTCCTTACCAAACCGACCAGCGGTGTCGGAATGGGCCATGTCAACAGCAGATAAAACAGAATTTAATAGGACGGGCTCAGCCGAAAGCTCCTAACTCATCTCTGAAACTAAAAAGGCCTCCTCGTTAGGGGATCGCCCCCAATCTTCTTCCGGGGAGGCAATGTCTACCATTGCGAGTTCCTCAGGGCCACTGCCTATGGGCCGAGGTTTTGGAAGGCAATCGGTATAAGGCTGTTTGCTTATCTCCATCTGTAAACACGTTTCCACCCCCTTTGGACAAGTGTCAGAGCAGGGAATTATCGGATTTCTTGCTGTCCTAATGGCAGGCCTTTTATACAGGGGAGAAGAAGATATCAGCTTAGGGATTTGGCTTACTGGAGTCTTCAGGGGGCTAATGACCCTGAGAGGAGATGCGATAACAGCAGCACTAGTAGGTCTAGCTGAGTCATCGGACCGCCGACCATCATATGGAGACGATGATGATTCTGCAGAGACAGTAGCTTCAGTTTCACTGGTTGCTAAATATCTTCGATATGTAGTCTCTTGTTTTTCTCATCCATTTGTCGGGTGGTATTGCCCAGTAGACCCAGGTACCCAAATTCTCGTTCGACGTCCCTGGTTGGTCTTGCTCTAATGCAGACATTTTCATAATTTCCTCCGAAGAGAAGACTTTCCCTGCTCTACGCATAGCAGTCCTACCACTACGCTGTGCCTCAGCAGCTCGAGCCAGATTAGCTGCGTCCGGTCGGGCATGGCGCATATGTTGTGAAAGCCCTGATTTGGTTGCGAAGTTGGCGGAGTATAACTCAGATGTAAAGTTTCTTCGATTCTTTCGGTCCCGGGCACTTAGGAAAATGACTCAAAGCTGATAACTTACCGTTGTAATTCGTGTTGCATTTGGAGCATAAAGAGATTAAGGAGACCTATCTATGGATAGTACCGTGTTGCCGAACCATGTTATTCAAATCAGTGGCCATGTAGCCACCCCCTCCTTTCTGGGCACAATGTGCGCAGCGACTCACTTGGAAGGGAATCCTAATCATGAACCGTTTCAAGCTAGGGTCGTCATAAGTGGTTGCCTTGTATTGACATAGCCCACCAGTCCAATCGAGAGGTCTGTGAAACCCGAGTGCTGACCAATACGTATAAATTCTGCGTCTTTTTTAGCTTTATGAACTGAGCGTCAATACATTTCATTATGCTTACTGACTAATTAAAATGTCTGAGTTATTGCAGCTGGGATAGATCCGCGGTCCTCTCAGCACACCCTATGTTCGGGATCTATCTTCCCATTATCTGTTTTTCCAGTATTCGCTGAATTTTCAAACACGAGACAGCATGCGCGAGTCACATGTGACCTTACATGACGAAGCTTAGCAACAAGCTGCACTGCGTTTCAATTTCATCGAATTTCTCGGAAGAGACGTTGCCCTGGGAGGTGCAAGAGCGAATGAACGCAGTTTTTGTCCGCTTTTAGCAGCGCTCACGTACGTCAGTGTGCGGTTCGGTAAACAGATAAGTATAAATTAAATGTAGAAGGAACTTTTTCCTGTATGAAACACATTAGTTGAAATAGGTATAATAATTTCTCAGAAAATAATTTGGAAAATGAAAACAATTGAGAATATTTTTTTCTGATTTTTTATTTCTCAAAGTATATTTGTATTTTTCAATTTTTGAAATTACTTTTTTATGTTTTATGCTATTTTAAGTTTGTGCGCGAATAATGTTTAAAATATCAAGTAGGGATTGTTTAAACCATATGTACACCCCTAATTATAATAATACTAATATTATAATATTTCGCATTCACCTTAAATATCTCATTTAAAATATTAAAAAATATGCTGATTAGTAGAGTAATTGAAGTTTTTTGGCTACATAACACCGTTTTATTTTTATTGCTTTTTTTAAGGCGTTTTACTGCATAAAATTCATTCTTTCCTTATTTGTTATGTAAGACACGGAACCAGTGACTTAGATTCACTATCACCGAGTGTTCACTATAGCCGGAGTCGACTGTATTTTGCCTTACACTATTTCTGGCTACAACTAATTTGATACAATGTATGTTATTCTTAAGGTACGGAGTCTTTTCATTTCAATGAACTGTTTTAATTTATTGCTCATTTTATATACGACTCTTAAATTGTGCTCCAATAGAAAGTTTTAATTTTGATTGCTGTTTTTAAAATTAAGGTAAAAAAGGTAAGTTTATAATGCTGGGGGGGGTGTAATCATTATCGTCGTCTACTGTGTATTTTTCTGTTTCAAATATGATTTTGTTCATACTATTTTTTACTATATTTTGCTTTAACATACATAGCTTTGTCATTATGGTTAATAATGATTAGATCTAAATAATTAATCTCATTGTTGTTTCCCATTTCATGAGAAAAAGTTAGGACAGAATCATAGTTATTAAAAGTCTGGAGAATGTTTGTTAATTTTTGTATTGCTGTAATTCACTTGTGGCGTCGTTAACACGAGGGCCAGAACCGTTAGGTCGGTGAAAGTACGCTGCGGGAGAGGAAGGGGTTGAGCCTGAACTTCCGGGAGTTTGCGCTCTGGCGGTTGACTCAGGTAGAGCCGCAGAGCCAAAAATACCGTAGGCTGTAAACTCCGAGGATGCTAGCCAGCGAGCCTCGCTTAAGGAAGCAGGCGAGCCAACCTGAGAATCCTGTGTGTGGGCGTAAACCAAGCTGCTGGCCAGCGAGCCTCGCGGCCGCCAGCCTGCGAGCCTATCTATGGAACAGTGGTGGGGGTGTCAGCCTCAACTATTTAACGCGGCGCCATCTGCGCCCGCGTTCTCATTCAGTTAGCATCGGGGAGCTTGTACGTGTATGTACGAGGAGTGTAGGAGTGTGGGCGAGATGTCCGGAGAGTAAGGGCCAGACGATCTCGCGTGTTGTAGGCACACGGTCGCCACGACCGGGTTAAATTTTGGCGTCAGGCCATGTGACGGTAATTGTCACGGGACGGAGGTCCGACAGCGCGCATCACGCGTAGCTTGTATTTTTCTGCGGTAAAGCAGGGTATTGAAAGGAAAAGGTTGCCGGAGTGTTTTAATATTAGCAATTTATAGTAACTTGTACATAATCTTTTAATATATTATTTTTATTTTGTTATTTGAATTCATTTCTTATTTCACTACGTCACACACTACTGCATCATCACTTCTTTATTTGAGGTCGTCTTGATTATTGAGAAAAAATATAGCTACGATTGCAGTTCGATCCTATGAAGTTCTGGGAATGAGACTAGATTTAAAACTTTTTATGTTATTAGTTATTACTCACTTGGCAGTTTTGTTGTGTTGATCGCCGGAATATTTGTAACCCTTCATTTCTTTAGCAATGAGATGTCTTTGCTCACTAATGACCTCCTGAATTTTCCGAATTCGGTTCACAATTACAATCGAAGAATCATCATGGTCCAATTCGTTGTTCGTACAATTCTGAAATGGAAAATACAAAAATTCTAAACTGTCACAAATCATTGTTCAATTAATCTTTAAATCACTATTGCTTCCTCTCTGCATAATATTATTACACCAAATGTGACACACAAGTCTTCTCTGAAAAAAACTAGTGGTGTTACAACAGAAAAAAAAATTTAAAATGATTTCTCAACTTGCAATTATTGAAATACAGAGAGTGCGACCACAATGGGACCTGCGCTACTTTTTAAGCGTTCTTTGTCCTATTCGTGGAAAAAATCGATGAAAAATTTGGAACGGTTTTTGACAAAAATGTTTTTCCAAAATAAAATTTCACTTTACGCCAAATTTCTCGTTTAAAAAAATCATGACTTTTTTTAAAGAGATAGTTTTAGAACACATTTTGAATTTGGCAAAATCTGCATCTCTGTTTTGTAGTTTTCAAATGTTAATTTTTTGAAATTTTCGAAAATACAATGTCTTTGCCGGATATAAAACTAGAATAACTTTTTTCACTTCTTTGATACATAGAAAAAAATTAAAGAAAAAATTCGTAGCCTTTCGAAACAAAATTAATTGATTAAAAAATAAAAATTGCCTTTAAATCACTCAAAATTACGGGAAAATATTATCTTCAAAAAATGTACACATTTTCAAGATCTCTCTTAAAAGAGAAGATTTTATTACAAGAAAATCTATCTTCAATATTGTAGGTGAGGGAAGATGCCAAAAAAATTGAACTTTTACTATTTTCAAAAACTTAGGGTTTTCAAGGAAAAAGGGTCCATCGACTGAGACTATCTTAGGCGCCCTTTAGGCTATCCAAGGACAAAATCTAATAAACAAATTGGAGCTAATTTGAGGAAAATCTGCAAATGTAGTTGTGGCTACATGCAAAATACCTCCAAAAATCCAATACGTCCGTTTCAAACTCTGGGGGTATCGAGTTCCTTTACATTGATCGAATATTAATTTTTCGGAAAATCAGCTGAATGGTTTGGGCGCTAGCTTTGACCACAGACGGACAGGCTGTCGTTTTGCCGTCAATCGATTTTTCGGCATCAAAGAACCATAATATAAGGATTCTGACTACACGTGTACGTTGTATGTGTGAAAGTACGTTGGCATACTAAAAGCGGCTTACTCCGACACTGTGTGACCGATTTTCAGGAAAGCTGGCACATCTACGTGTTTTTTCACCTAGAATGTTTATGTGCCGTTAATTTTGTAGTAACTCTAATAAACATCGCCGTCAGAACAAAAATTGGGCTTCATTTTAATGTAATTTCTATTCAATCTGCGCAAGACCTGGAGGCTTCATTGTTGCTGCGCGTTGCCGAATGATGCAGAGCGAGGCCCAAGACGGGTACGCGTGTATGATACAGAGATAGAGACAAGCACAAACGCAGAGAGAAACTGACAGAGACACAAGGAGATAGAAAGGGAGTGGGATAGTGAGACAGAGTCACGCAAACAGAGAGATACTCAGAGATAGAAACAGATAGAAAGTCAGACAGGGATAGAGAGGATCGGTGACAGAGAAACGAAGAGAGACCGAGGGACAACGAGACAGAGAGAGAGACCGAGGGACAAATAGACAAAAAGAGAGAACGAGGGACAAATAGACCAAAAGAGAGACCAAGGGACAAATAGACAAAAAGAGAGACCAAGGGACAAATAGACAAAAAGAGAGAC